TTTTTTTTAAGAGAGATTTTTGCTATAGGGCGCCTGCGCTTGCCAGAGAGACAGAGAGACAGAAAGCAAGAAATCATCCCCTGGGGTGGATGGTCATGCCTCAATCCCTTCTTTTCCATTCTTTTTTCAGGATTTTGAGCATGCACGCGCACACACATCGGGTGTGAGTTTTAAACCACTGGGTCTGGTACTTAAAAGGTGGTCAAGTACATGGGAGTCCAGTGACTTAATCATTATGCCATCTACTTGTCTATTTTTATAGACCCATTAAAATTCAGGTCTCTGGGACCAGCAGTTGGCAGTCTCTCCGTTTCTCTGTCTTTCTGGGGAGCACATGCGCCCTATACCAAAAACAAACAAACAAACAAACAAAAAACCGAAAAACAAACAACTACCCCCCAAAAAAACAAAAAAAAATCAGGTCTCTGAAATAATATGAGGTCAAGGATTTGGAAGAGGTCAAGATGGGGTGTTTAGGTTACACAAGAATGGCCATGGAGCCAGCAAATGGCTAATGGTTATGTCACTAGCCACATGGTTGACTGCAGTTTGAGTCCCGGACCTGGTGCCCTGAAAATCATGCTGGGTTGTGTGTGCATGCATGCCCAAGATCCCAGGAGGAGAATGGAAGAGAAGGGATTGCGGCATGGCCATCCCTCTCCCCCAAGAGGTGGAGGTGGGGAGGTGTTTTCTCACTTTCCCTCTCACTGTCTCTGTTTTTCTCTCTGGTGAGTGCACGCACCCTATGGCGAAAACCTCTTAAAAAAGAAAAATTGCTGGGACCAACAGATGGCGTAATGGATACGTTGCTGGGCTCTCACATGGCCAACCGTGGTTCAAGCCCTGGACCCGGAGGCTTGAAATTTACATCAGGCATACGTGCATGTATGCTCAATATCCCAAGAGGAGAATGGAAGAGAAGGGATTACGGGTGTGGCCATCCTCCCCGGCGGGTAATTTCTCACTTTCTGTCTCTGTCTCACCGGCAAGTGCACATGCCCTATAGCAAAAATTCCTCCCCCCAAAATAAAATTGCCATGAGTTGGTAAATTTTCAAAAATAAAAGAATAAAATGGGAACCAGCAGGTGGCGTACTGGTTACATCACTGGACTTGCACGTGGTCGACTGGGGTTTGAGTCGTAGATACAGTGGCTTAAAAACACTGGGCACATGTGCTTGCATGCCTATGATTCTGGAAGGAGAATGGAGGAGAAGGGATTGCAACGTGGCCATCCCCCTCACGGGTGATTTCTCGCTTTTTGTCTTTCTCTCTGTCTCTGACGAGTGCACATGCCCTATAGCAAAAATCTCTCTAAAAAAAGCAGGATAATAAAAGAATAACAACAAAAAAATGTCTGACCCTTTGACTATCTCCAAAATCAACAAATACACATGGCTTTTGCCACCAAGTTCCCAGAATCTGCATGCCAAGGGCTTTGAAATGAGGAAAACAGTTGGGCATTTCACACCCTTAAGGATAAAGCAGTGAGGGGCAGACATATGTTTATCTACAGGCCAGTTTCATATTATAATTAGGGCCACAAACTTTAGTGTCAGGCAGAAGGGGGCTTTAGTTTTGGCTCTGCAAATCACCAGGAACTTGCTTGACCTCTCTGAACTTCAGGTGTCACCTCTGGAAAATGCAGGGGGAGGATACACTAGAGTTTCTGCCTTATTGAAATGTTATATGAATTTTAAAAAGACAATCCATGAACAGCTTTAACACAAGGCCATCCAACACATGCAAAAGTCTAATCGGGGTTAGATATTTTTATAAAATAGAACTATTTAAAAAATCAAAAGTATTGGGACCAGCAGTTAGCGTACTGGCTATGTCGCTGGCCTCCCATGTAGTCGACCGCGGTTCGAGTCCTGGACCCGGTGGCTTAAACTCACGCCGGGCGCATGTGTGTGTGTGCCCCAGATCCCAAGAGGAACACATGCAAAAGTCTAATCGGGGTTAGATATTTTTATAAAATAGAACTATTTAAAAAATCAAAAGTATTGGGACCAGCAGTTAGCGTACTGGCTATGTCGCTGGCCTCCCATGTAGTCGACCGCGGTTCGAGTCCTGGACCCGGTGGCTTAAACTCACGCCGGGCGCATGTGTGTGTGTGCCCCAGATCCCAAGAGGAACACATGCAAAAGTCTAATCGGGGTTAGATATTTTTATAAAATAGAACTATTTAAAAAATCAAAAGTATTGGGACCAGCAGTTAGCGTACTGGCTATGTCGCTGGCCTCCCATGTAGTCGACCGCGGTTCGAGTCCTGGACCCGGTGGCTTAAACTCACGCCGGGCGCATGTGTGTGTGTGCCCCAGATCCCAAGAGGAACACATGCAAAAGTCTAATCGGGGTTAGATATTTTTATAAAATAGAACTATTTAAAAAATCAAAAGTATTGGGACCAGCAGTTAGCGTACTGGCTATGTCGCTGGCCTCCCATGTAGTCGACCGCGGTTCGAGTCCTGGACCCGGTGGCTTAAACTCACGCCGGGCGCATGTGTGTGTGTGCCCCAGATCCCAAGAGGAACACATGCAAAAGTCTAATCGGGGTTAGATATTTTTATAAAATAGAACTATTTAAAAAATCAAAAGTATTGGGACCAGCAGTTAGCGTACTGGCTATGTCGCTGGCCTCCCATGTAGTCGACCGCGGTTCGAGTCCTGGACCCGGTGGCTTAAACTCACGCCGGGCGCATGTGTGTGTGTGCCCCAGATCCCAAGAGGAACACATGCAAAAGTCTAATCGGGGTTAGATATTTTTATAAAATAGAACTATTTAAAAAATCAAAAGTATTGGGACCAGCAGTTAGCGTACTGGCTATGTCGCTGGCCTCCCATGTAGTCGACCGCGGTTCGAGTCCTGGACCCGGTGGCTTAAACTCACGCCGGGCGCATGTGTGTGTGTGCCCCAGATCCCAAGAGGAACACATGCAAAAGTCTAATCGGGGTTAGATATTTTTATAAAATAGAACTATTTAAAAAATCAAAAGTATTGGGACCAGCAGTTAGCGTACTGGCTATGTCGCTGGCCTCCCATGTAGTCGACCGCGGTTCGAGTCCTGGACCCGGTGGCTTAAACTCACGCCGGGCGCATGTGTGTGTGTGCCCCAGATCCCAAGAGGAACACATGCAAAAGTCTAATCGGGGTTAGATATTTTTATAAAATAGAACTATTTAAAAAATCAAAAGTATTGGGACCAGCAGTTAGCGTACTGGCTATGTCGCTGGCCTCCCATGTAGTCGACCGCGGTTCGAGTCCTGGACCCGGTGGCTTAAACTCACGCCGGGCGCATGTGTGTGTGTGCCCCAGATCCCAAGAGGAACACATGCAAAAGTCTAATCGGGGTTAGATATTTTTATAAAATAGAACTATTTAAAAAATCAAAAGTATTGGGACCAGCAGTTAGCGTACTGGCTATGTCGCTGGCCTCCCATGTAGTCGACCGCGGTTCGAGTCCTGGACCCGGTGGCTTAAACTCACGCCGGGCGCATGTGTGTGTGTGCCCCAGATCCCAAGAGGAACACATGCAAAAGTCTAATCGGGGTTAGATATTTTTATAAAATAGAACTATTTAAAAAATCAAAAGTATTGGGACCAGCAGTTAGCGTACTGGCTATGTCGCTGGCCTCCCATGTAGTCGACCGCGGTTCGAGTCCTGGACCCGGTGGCTTAAACTCACGCCGGGCGCATGTGTGTGTGTGCCCAAGATCCCGAGAATGGAGGAGAAGGGATTGCAACGTGGCCAGCCCCCTCACGGGTGATTTCTCGCTTTCTATCGCTCTGTCTCTCTCTGTCTGTCTGGCGCGCGCACGCACCCTATAGCGAAAAACCTCTCCAAAAAAAAAAAAAAAATCAAAAGTATTACAGGTCGTGTGCTTTGGAGTCCTCAGAATGGAGTAATTCTCTCTGGGTGTCCTCTTACTAGGTAGCTCCCTGAGTTTGCTCCAGGCTGCTCTGTCGGGGGCCTCAGGAAGAAGGATGCAGGTGAAACAAGTGAGGCCCACCCTGTGGAATGCAGTAGAAGAAGTCCAGACCCGCCGGGCTGCCCTGAGGACCCTACGTTTAGGCCTCCTTGGGGACACCCTAACAGACTGTGGGCTTAAACAGCTGAGCAGGGCATTGCAGGAGCTACAGGTGAGCAAGGCGAGGCCTGGGACACCTGGGCTAGCCATGGCCAGCACCCACCCTAAACCCTCTCTCCATAGGTGATAAAAGCCTGGAGTCAGTGCCCAAGATATCAAACGTCCAAAGGAGCCAGAGCTGAGACCATGGGGCTCCCAAAATCACAGGTATATCTTCTCACTCAGTCTCTTAGCACCCCCATTTATGTCTGTCTTCCTCTCCTCTGTTTACACGGCACTGTGTGGAGGCCCTCCATTCATTCATTCATTGGTTTATTGATTCCCAAACGTTTATTGACCACCCAGTATGTGCTGGCCACAGTGCCAGGTAGGCCTCCATCCAGGTATTCTCTGTCCACATGGAGTTTATACTCTGCTGGGAAGAAACAATTACCACAGCATGGGCCAACGCTCTGAAAGGCTTATAAAAATGGGGTTTTTTGGGGCATCTAAGTTAGTCTTGGCAAGGAAGAGAAGGAAGACTTCATGAGGGAAATTATTCCCGAGGAGGTGAGCAAAGATGAGTGAAGAACACTCCAAGCAGAGAGAATGACAGGCAAAGAATCAGAAGTAAGCGAGTGCTTGATCTCTTTAGGGGACTGCAAGCAGCTCAGTTAGAGAATAGGATTTGAACAAGAGTAAGGAGAGAAAGACTGGAGAGAAAAGCAGAGGCCAAGTCATACAGGTTTTTGTAAACAATAGATTTTTTGGACTTTGTCTTGGAGGTCAAAGGCAAGTCACAGAAGTATTTAAGGCAAGGAAGACAACATTGCTCCCGCTTTTTTCTTTTCTTTTTAAAAAATTTGAGGGGCTGACAGGTGGTGTGGTGGAGGCACTGGACCCCGACATGGCTGGCTGTGGTTTGAGTTGTAGACCTGGTGGCTTGCTTTCTCACTCTCTCTCTCTGTGTAGTAAAATTTAATAATAAATAATAATTCTTTTTTTTTTTAAGAGAGATTTTTGCTATTGGGCACATGAGCTTGCTAGAGACACAGAGAGAGACATCCTCTTTGGATGGTGGGCATGCACACACATGTGTCTGGCATGAATTTTCTTTCTTTCTTTCTTTCTTTCTTTTTTTTTTTTGTAGAGGTTTTTTCCTATAGGGCACATGCACTCTCCAGAAAGACAGAGAGAGACAGAGAGACAGAAAGTTAGAAATCACCTCTGAGGAGGGATGACCACACCACAATCCCTTCTCCTCCATTCTCCTCTCAGGATCTTGGGCACACACGCACCACACGCCCGGCGTGAGTTTAAGCAACCAAGTCCGGGACTCGAACCACAGTAGACTCCATGGGAGTCCAGCGATATAGCCATTATGCTAACTGCTGGTCCCCCCGGCATGAATTTTAAGCCAATGGGTCCAGGACTCAAACTGTGGTCAATTAGTCAGAGTCCAGTGACATAACAATTACATCATCTGCTGGTCCCAATTATTATTATTATTATTTAGAGAAATTTTTGCTATAGGGTGTGTGTGCTTGCTAGAGAGAGAGAGAGACAGAGACATAAAGCGAGAAATCACCCTCCAAGGTGATGGCCACACTACAATCCCTTCTCGTCCATTCTCTTCTTCGGATTTTGGGCACACACAGACACATGCTTGGTGTTGAGTTTCAAGCTGCCAGGTAGTGGATTTGAACTGTGGCCATGTGGGAGTCCAGTGACATAACCATTATGCCATCTGCTAGTCCCAATAAATAATATTTTTTTAAAAAAGAATTATTTATTTATTTATTTAATTTGACCAGAGAGAGAGAAAAAAAAAAAAAGAGTGAGAAAGCAAGCCTGGGATTTGAACGGCAATCAGCCATGTAGGAGTCCAGCTCCCTTAACCACCATATCACTTACTGGTCCTGCCAATAAATAATTCTTAAAAAAAAAAGAACAAACTTGGGACCAGCAGTTAGCGTAATGGCTATGTTGCTGAACTCCCATGTAGTTGACTGTGG